ACAAAATAAAACTAATAATCAATCCCCGACAACGGCGCCAAAAAATTGTTCACGAAAATATGTTCGCTTTGTAAATCACCGCAAGTGCAGAGTTCGTTAACAAGTAATAAAGTGGATTATGAGTCCAAATATTGTTCCCACGAGAATTGATTTAATTCGATTTCTATTATCGAGACCTTAACCGAATCTATAAAATTCAAGATGATTTTTCTTGATTTTTAGATTAAACTATGACTATTATGCAATTTAAATTAAGATTACGAACTAAATGCAAAAATGACATTTGAATGCAAACGAGTTAAAGAAATTAATGAATGAAAAGCGCACTAGAATCCCGAATTACCAAGCAAGTTCACTTTTAACCTTTATTTCACAATTCGATAATACGATGAATTGCTTGAAGAATCAATGTTTCCAACTTATCTAATAATCTCTTTAGAATAGAATTGAACATATTCTCGCATACCATTTGACAATATTTCTATGCCAAATGCAATATACAAGAATGCATGACGTTTTGTAAACACTTAGAGATTCATTTAAAGCATAGCAGTATATTTTTATCGCCTATCGGACCATACGATGATTTATACCTTGTAAAATCTATTTCACTTCTTTCGAATACATAAAATAGATCACCTAAACTCACATAGTCATATGCATTTAACCATGGAGGCAAGAAATTGTATATAAATAATCAAACATCCATCAATCGTATTTGAATATCAAATTGCAAAATAGAGAATTAAAAGGTCACATCACATGGTTCATCGTTTTCATAGCACAAATAAATTTAGCGTAACATAATATTGAAATTAAACAAGTAAAAATGAAGTGACATCACCAAAAATTGACCAAACGTGATTAATTCGAGTTATGTGTTGCCAATTCTGCCTTCTGCGTAATTCCGTTTCTTCTATGTTAATATATCCTTTGCAGCCACCAACAATTGAAAAGTCAGCTTTCCTTTTTCTCCTCCCAGCTGCCAGTGTATTATCAATTGAAAAGTCCAATTTCCAGCATCTTCTTTCGAAGCTGCCTGTGTATGTTTTTCCTCTTCCACCGACTTTGTGATTGTGTGTATATATATTTTCTCTGTCAAAGCTACCGGCCTCTGCTTGGGAGTCACGTATGTATATATAATTTGCATCGTCTCCTCCCTAACTACTTCGGGTTCCTGTATATATATATATTTTTTTTTTTTTCAGCTCGTGAACCCCCCATTTCCTGTTCGCGTGGTACATATATAGGGAAAAGGGTTAATTTCACAAATG